TCATTTCAAAATTACATCGTTGAACAAACATAGCTAAGATAATTTTTGCTTCTAATAAAGCAAAATTTTGTCCAATACAGTTTCGTGGATCAATAGCCAACGGAAGATAAGTAAATGGATGAGGTAATTTTGGTTTCAAACCTGTTTTAGGATCACGTAACCAACGTGTATAATCAAATTGATCTGATTGAGGCCATAAATCACTTCGACGATGAAGAAGATAACTGTTGACAGTTATTGTCGTTCCCGCAGGTATACGTAATTGACATTCAGCGTCAATAACATGTTCACGTATACAATGACATGAGGAAAAATGGTGCTGATGGATAAAGACGAAGTGTTTCATTTATGATAGCTTCACATATGACCAATGCAGGAAGATTTTCATTCGTAGGTTCTATGTCATTAGGTAAAACTCTATCAACTTCTTCTCGACAAGCTTCAAATACATCTTTATGAGTCATTAAAATATAAAACATCCATGTCATAAGATTACCAGTAGTTTCACTACCAGCAAGTACAAATGTAAGAGCGTGTTCTTTAATTTCTTGATCAGTAAATGATTTTCCTTCATTATCAACAGTTGAAAGAAGTAAATCAAGAAGATCAGGACCATTAGATAGACTAGTTGTATCTCCTTGTCTTCGATCAGTAATTATTTTATCAACTAACTCACTTATCATTCGAGCTCCATTATCAACAATATTTTTCTTCAAGAAAGGAAATTTTGATATAAAAGGTATTTGATTAATCATCAACATTGAACGATAAATAATAGCTTCAAGTACTTCACCAAATGTTTGAGTAATAATCTCTTGAGCATTTGCAATTGTTTCAAAATCTGAACCAAATGCACTTGATGCAATAATTGATAATGTAAGTGCATTAAATTGATATTGTAGATCAATTGATATTTGTTCTGATTGATCTAAAGTTGATCTTTGCAAAAGTTTTTGAATCGTTTTTGTAGTTTGATCAGTAATAATTGAAACTATTGATTTAAGATTTGTATGATAAAAAGCAGGATTAATCATATGTCTTGCTCGTTCATGTTCATGACCTTCAGATACTAATAAATTTTGTTTACCAATAATTGGAGTGAAAATAGTACTAAAAAAAAGGTGGTTTAATATAATTTTGTACATTTGTTCGACTAAATATATCAGCAAGTAAATCAGGTTCAGTAATAACGAGACGTGTTAATGGACCAAAAGAAAATAGATATATATTTCCATGTTTTCGTGCTAAATCTTCATGAAAAGCTATAATTGTATTAGCTTGTTGATATCGACGTATTTCAGGAAGTTGACCAAATAAAGGTACAAATGGTTCACCATTGATTCCTTGTGCACGCAATACATCATAGAGATATTTCTCAGGACGAATGAGTTTTACATAGATAATAACAATAGCAAGTAAGATAATAGTAACGAAGATGTAGAATACAATTTGGAATAGCATGAGAATAACAATAGTGAAGTAATAAACTACAGACCGTGTTTTACACTCTCTATAAAATGAGACATAAAATATAGATAATGTTTTTGTAATGTGCGTAGTATTTTTTCGATTTAGGGCGGGCAGATTTTATGTGGAGAAAGAAAAGAAAAAGTCTATATATGTGTCTGAATTGTGCTACTAAACATGCTTTTTTTATACGTGTTTTAAGGTAAGAGAGATATTCTTCACAAGACAACAACTAGATGTCTGGGAATGTTTTCAAGTTAAAATATATTCTGATAAAATGATTTATTTAATTTGTTTTTTCCTTGGAAAAATTTACAATTTATTTATATTCGAAATATTGTTTGATCTACAGTAATATACAAATCTGTTTCATCTATTTTTAGTGTTTCTCTAATGGCGTATATTATTTAAAATGTAGCTAAAACTTCTCTCGAGCGTCTTAATGAAGATATTTTTCATAATATTTAACATTGATACTCCTGTTGTCAATATTTACACAAGAGTTCTTCTTATATACAGGATGTTGATTATCCAATCATCTCCTTGTATTCATGGTAAAGACAATCAAGCTGTTTCTGGACTCAGCTGGGCACAGATTTGTAAATATTCTGTTAATCGGATCCAAAAATTTTGGACCCACTGGGTTCTAGCCGTCTAACAAATATGTAGGGTGCGCTAATCACCGAATACAAAACATGGGTGAAAAGTATCTTGTATCTCTGAGGCGACTATCCAATTCCGATTAGAAAATGTTATTGCAAGTATCAAAGTACAGTTTGATCAGGTGCAAGAATTTTGCATCCGACGGTTTCTATTTACTGGTGTACTAAAGACAGCATATTTCAGAATGAGATCAATTCCAATTATGGCTCTAATAAAAACTTTATTAATTACAACCAGCATGTCTTTTTTTCCTTTAATACTCTCTAATCTTTCTGGAAATAGAGAGAATACATCTACGATTAACTAAACACAATATTAGATCATTGATATGGATTTTAATTTGACGCTCTAACCACTTTTTTCATTTCAAAATCTATTCAGTAGGATCAATACTATCAAATATTTACTCATGCATTTTATATAATTGTATTGTAATTTATGATATTTGATTCTCTATTTGTTGACTATATTTTCTAATTTTTGTTATTTTTAGATGTGCCAATCGCTCTCTATAACTTTCTTTCCGAATTCAGTACTCATTCAATTGGTTACAAATCATTAGACAATTTTGTAATTCTGTATGTAAAAAAACTCTTTAAGAAAACATTTCATTGGAAATATTTTAGTTGACAAATTATTAATAAATATAGACTTCTGAAAATGTCAAACGAACGTTCTGAATAATTTAGAAACAATAGTTATATTTATGCAATCTATGATAACATTCTTAATGATTTTTGAATAAATCTTCATAAGATACACAATAGGAGTCTAGAAACATTATTGTATGTTATTTGTCAGTGCACATATTTTATTAAGTATTTATAGAAAAATTAAAAAAATAACATATTTATCAAAGAAGTCAATATTGATATTCGAATTAGAAGTATTCGCTAAATAAATTTACTTCATATGATAGATATGCATTCATATCTAACGTTTACTAATTCTTGCTAAAAGACCATATTTTGTGCGCATTGTAATTTTAAAATCCGGTATTATTTTTTGTCCTGGTATCATTTCAAAATTACATCGTTGAACAAACATAGCTAAGATAATTTTTGCTTCTAATAAAGCAAAATTTTGTCCAATACAGTTTCGTGGATCAATAGCCAACGGAAGATAAGTAAATGGATGAGGTAATTTTGGTTTCAAACCTGTTTTAGGATCACGTAACCAACGTGTATAATCAAATTGATCTGATTGAGGCCATAAATCA